CTGGCGCTTTGGCCCCCAGCGCCACCGCCGCTGCCAAGTAGCACCATCCTGAGGATCTCCGCTGGGGAGGCCCCGCCCAGCCTGCTTTTGCCCCGCCCAGCTGCCGCAGAGCCAGAGGGAGGGAGGCCGCCACAAGTCGCTCGGGGGGGGGCCTCCTCTTGGGGAAGTGGCCGTGTGGCGTGGCAAGCAGCGGGACCAGGGCTAGCCGCTTTCCCCAGGGGGGGGGAGGAGGGGGCTCAGCAGAGCCGCTTCGCAAGTCGGCCCTTCCAGGCCCTGCACTGGGGCCCCGCCGGCCAGCTTCTCCTGCCCCTCGGGCCACTCGCCTGGTTTGCCTTGTCCACTCGCCCCTCCATCCTGCCCCTCCGAGAGGTCGAGCCTCTCTGGCGAGAACTCCTCCTCTTGGCTGGGCATCCCCTGGCCCGCACACTCCCCGTCTTCCAGCCCGGGCAGAGTCCCCGGGAGCTCCGCCTCCTGCCCCCCCAGGGCTCCCATCTGCTGCAAGGCCTGCTCGAGGGTCCGCTCCCAAGGCCCCATCCCTCCCTGGCCCACCGCTGGGGCCTCTCTCCACACTCCGCTGCCACGCAGAGAGCTCTCCTCCTCCTCCTCCTCCGCACCCAGCAGTCCCTCTCCAGGAAGCTGACCACTCAGCCGCTCCTTGCCGACTTGGTAGCTGAAGGGGGGCTTTTCAGAGAAGCTGAAGCGGGGGCAGTTGTCCAGAGGGGTCGGGGACGAAGGTCCGGCGCTGGAGACCGTGCTCGAGGGCCCGCTGCTGTCTGCAAGGAAATCATAAAAAGGAGCACTGGTCACTTGCACAAGCTGCTGAGGAAATTCCCCCACTGCTGCATGGCCCCGGCCACCCAGCAGACACTTGCTAAGTGCCAAGCACTGTGCCTGTCCCCCCCCCCCCCGCAGCAGCATCCTATGGGAGGAAGCGGGGGGGGGGAGCACCTCCCTCCTCCTCTCCTGGCTGAGTGCAGCAGACCTCTGCGTGGCTGGCCCCAGTGGCAGCAGAACCTCCCCCCTGGATCGCGCTCCGTGAGGCTGCCCTTCCTGCAGAGGCAGCAGGGTGCCCCTCCGGTCACCCACATGAAGCCACACCAACCACCCCCATCACTCGTGTTCTCCCCCCCCCCGGTCACTCACACCAGGGGGGCCTGTCGGAGCGGGGATGCAGTGGCAAAGAGGAGGAGGAGGAGGACAGCATCTGCTGCTGCATGAAGGCATCGCCCGGCGCTTGGCTGTCCAGGGAGTCAAACAGCGCTGCTGCTGCTGCTGGAGAGGGAAGAACCACTGGGTCAGCCCTTCCCCCCCACTGCCTGCCTGCCTGCCATGGGTTGGGGGGGCGGGGGGGGGCTGGCTGTCATGGGCACACCAGAGGCAGGAGGAGGGCTCTCACTTCTGGGCCTGCGGGAGTGCCCAGGCAGGTGAGCGGGTACTCCAGCCCTCGAGTGCCTGGGGTCACCGTGCCCAGTCTGCCACACACTCCCTGACACTGCTGAAGAGCAGGGGAGCTGATTTCCCTCTCGGTGCAGTAATTGAGGCTCTGCAGATCCTGGGCCTCTCCCCCCTCCACCTCGTACCTGTGGGGGCTCCAGAGTGGGTGCTGCTGCAGCAGCTCCTGCAGAGGCCTGTCAAGAAATCGTTGACCTGGCGCAGGGACAGTGAATTGTGCAGCGTCTCCAGGGGGTAGATGCTGGGCACCATGGAGCAGCCCTCAAAGCCTGCAGCAAGAACACAAAGAACGAGAGACCCTCCCGTGTCAGGGCCCAAGGGGAAGCCAGTCCTTGGTAGCACCCCCCAAAAACCCCACCCTCCTGGTGCTTCTCAAGCAAGCGCCAGCTGCATCCAGAGCCTGCAGGGGGGTGGCCCTCCGGCCAGCCCAGAAGCAAGTGTGCTTGGGCCACAAGGAACCTCCCACCCGACACCGCCTCTGCATTGCCGGCATGCCGCCTGCTGACCACTTGCAGGTATAAACTTCTCCGGGGTGGGGTGGCCCGTGGTACTCCTTATGGGCACGAGGAAAGCTAAACCAATGCAGCTGCGTTTTTTGGCATTTATGCAAAAACCTAGGAACATAAAGAGCCCGGCTGGGTCAGACCAGCGAGGGTCCATCTAGAGGTCCAGCCTCCTGGCTCACTTAGTGGCCAACCAGTTCCTCTGGAGGCCCAACAACAGGGCAGAGAGGCCGAGGCTGTCTCCTGGTGTTGCCCCTGGCCCTTGGATTCAGATGTTCAGGAAGTTCCCTTTAGTCACCGTGACTAGTAGCCACTGAGAGACCATGAATCTGTCTAACCCCATTTTAAAACTGTCTATGCGTATGGCCATCGCTACATCCTCTGGCAGCAAACTCTTCAAAAATGGCTCGTAAGAACATAATAAGTACAGTGTGCTGAGTCAAACTGTCCCCTCTCAGTGGCACTAGGGGGTGCTGGCGCACATTTCAGCTGGCAGCGCAGCCCACAAGTGAACTGAGAACTGGAAATAATGGAGGGTGGGGGCACCTCTCCTTCTGGGGCCCAGAGAACTGGACCCCCTCAGCCAGTCTTTTTGAAATTGGGGGGGGGGGGTTTGAGAGGCACCAGCAGCTATGCTGCAAATGTGGTGCCTCTACCTCAAAAAACAGCCCCCCCCCCAAGCTCAGATACCCCTGGATTGATTCTCCATTATAGCCTATACGGCCCATTGACTATAATGGTCCCCAATGGCTATAATGGAGTCAGAAAAAATTGATTATTTTTTTTTGCACACCCCTATTATGCTTTTCAGTATGAGTTGCAAGCTGCCTTGAGTCACAGGGAAAAGTGGGATATAAATATTTGAATAAATAGTTCGGGCATATCTATAACGTTTAAGCAACTGCCTGTTTGTTAGGTTAGGCAGGGTTCTGACAGTGATATATCCACCTCTGTTATACTTGACCTGTAATGCTCGTTGTCATATTTCACTAAAAACAATAAAGCAGACTGCAAGAGTCTCCCCCCCCCCACCCCTCCTCCAAGTGCTAGTATGTTTTCTAAGGCTCAGTGCAGGGTGACAGTCCGAGGCCAGGTCTACCAATACAGTGGACTGGGGCAGGTAGACTTGCTCTCTGGAGGCCAGGTGTACCAATACGGTGGGAAAAGGTGGGTGAAATATGACTTGATTCTGCTTTCTCTTATAATGTTTAAATTATTCTTAAAATATAGTTTAAATACAATTTAAAAGAATTTATTCTGAGATTTTTACAAGGTTATAGAAATAATGTTCTAAAAAACTAATTTACGCAATAGTCAAATGTAGACTTACTCACTACTATAATGCTAATAGCTTTTTCGTCCACAAGGCAGAATTTCTGCTCACAACACTGTGGAGCTTAGAGGGAACATTGGTCAGGATCCATCTAGTGCAGCACACCATTCCCACGCTACTGCATGCAAACGAGGTGTCTGGAGGCCGCTTCTGTATATGGAGGTTCCCTTTAGTCACCAGGCCAGGCCCCTCTCCGCCATGAATCTGGCTGGGCCCCTTTTAAAGCCCCCCACGCACCGTGCTCTTGGCCAGCAATACATCCACTGGCAGTGAGTCCCACCATTTAATTACTCACTCAGTAAAATCTGTTCTGAACCCACTCCCAGCCACTTCATCAGGGGCCCTCAGTTCTCATATTATGCAAGGGAGAAAATTCTTCTCCATGCGCACTTTTCCTGTACGTAATGATGTCCCCTCCGAGCCACCTTTCTTCCTAAACCTCTCACAGTCCCCAGACTCTTCAGTCCCTTCATTATCTTCTATGCTTTTTCCAGCTCTGCAATATCCTTTCTGAGATACGGTGTCCAAAACGGCACAGTGTGTCCCAAATGCAGGTGCACCATCCACAGGTCCATACGAGGGCATTATAATACTGGCTGTTTCATGTTCAGTCCATCTCCTGATAATCTCCATCATGGAGCTTGCCGTCTCCACCACTACCTGCCCAGTGAGTTGCCATTTGCACTGAGCTATCCACTATAACTCTTTTCTGTCTCAGTCTCAGCCATTCCAGACCCCATCAGCATATACATTAAGAAGTTGTTTTGTTACATTTACCTTCTGTAAAAGCTCAGGACACCAAATCCTGCCCAGAGGAAGCTCTGCAAAAGCCTCAAAGTCCTGCGTTTTAAGCTCTGTGGGACAGAAATGGCCCTTCCCCTCCTGTCAATGCTCGTGCCAAGCGGCACCGGGCAGGCCTGGGGAGGGTCAGAATCCTGACAGCGGCATCGGCATGAGAAGCTGCTTTGGTCCGTCGCAAGAGAAAAGAGCCTTCAGGGACCAAAAGGCGACCCTGGGCCCCTTTTCTCCCTACGGTGACAACCAGGCTCCGTGACCAGCCTCTTGGCTTGCAGATGCTGTGGCAGGACTGCCCCTTGGGGGCTCTGGATCAGAAGAACCATCCTAACCCTAGTGAACAAGACAATTCCTGGGAACCAAAATGGAGAATGTCCCGTCCAGAGAAGAAAAATCCCAAAGGTGGCCCAGTCCTCAGGGAGCGGAGTGCAAAGGCATGCTCCCTCTGCTCACACACACGCGCTCATTCTCTCCCTCTGCAGGCCCTGCACTGCTGCCTCTTCTTCCTCCCTGGTAGGGGAAAGTCTGACTGTCCCATGCAACACGACACACACACACATTGCAAGACACTGAAGAGCTTGAACCGGCTCCTGCTTTCTAACCACAAAACCTGTGGCCTTAGTAGGGGGAGCAGATGGCCAACAGGTTAATACCACCGGAAATCCAAGCACACAAACGGAACACCATGCAAAGCCGGGTGAAGAGGCTCAGAGCAGAACAAGCCTCTCTGCTGCCCCACTCCCTTCTAGAAGGGACAGACAGCAGCCAGTCCGGGAGCAGCCCAGGCAACATATGTCCAGCTCGGAGAGACAAGGCTGCCCGTCTGCCCAGGCCAGGAAGACTACGGAGGGGCAGAGAAGCTCTCCTGGGCCTCCACAACAGCACCTACACGAAAGCCAACGAGGGAAGGCTTCCTGCCAGCATGGACCGGGCACACACCAAGGCGACAAGCATGTCATGCCATGCCGTGCCATACCGTCAAGGCTCTCCAGATCGCCCTGGCCAGAGACCAGCCACTTCCGGAAGAGGCGCAGGTGGTAGAAGCACTGGTGGAGATGGCGGGCCAGGGGGGCATCCAGAGAGAGGTCTCGGCTTGTGGCAGAGTCAGAGGGAAAACGTCGCAGCAGCCGGGCAAGGCACTCGCCTTCCAGCTCATCTGAGGGGAGGGGCCAAAGAGAAGAAAAGTGAGGGGGGGGCAGCAAGCTGAGGCAAATGCTCAGGGGGGCGGGGGGAGGAGGAGGAGGAGGCCTGGCCCACAACCCACTTGGGACCCTCCACACCGGTCTGTCGGCCCCACCCAGAGGGCCAGAAGACGCCCAAGAGAAGCCCAGCCCCTCAAGTGGCTTCCCACCAGCCGCCAGCCCCTCACATCCCTTCACGGCCCACCTGCTCCCTTCCCCAGCCCAGAGGTCGTCAAGGGTCTTCCCCGTCACAGAAAAGGCCCCTGCCCTTCTGACGGCCGTGCCCTTCTTCTCCGCACAAGGGAGTCTCGCTCGCAAAGCTGCCAGAGGCGACCGTTCCATCCACCCCTTCAGGTGGCTGCTCTCCTCTAGCGGAGCCTTTCTCCTTCTTTTCAGAACCCCACCTAGGCCGAAAGGACCGTGAAGGACTGCATAAGGTGATGGAAGAGTGCCGTTTGCAGAGCTCCTGAGAGTCCCCACTGCACAGCCAGCCTTGGAGGTCACAGGTGACGCCCCACCCCGCCCCATGACATGACCATCCTTCCCTGCTGTCCTGACCGGTCAGTCAGGGCAGGACACCAATGAATTCAGAGGAGGAGGAGGAGGAGCTGGTTTTTATACCCTGCTTTTCTCTACCTCAAGGAGCCTCAAAGCACCTTCCCTTCCTCTCCCCACAACAGGCACCCTGTGAGGTAGGTGAGGCTGAGAGAGTCCGGAGAGAGAACGGTGACTAAAAAAGCAAGAATTCCAGGCTTCCGCAGCACTCACTGCCCTTGAGTACAATGATCCATGCTCTCCGTTTTAGAGCCCCTTCCTCTAGATTCTGCTCTCCTCTCCTTTTGTCCTGTCAACTTCAAACCCGCAGCTTTTTACAGCAAGCTAAGGAGGCCCAAGAGGAGGTCAGCATCGCCCAGTGATGTGAGAACGACTCCTCGGAACCTTCCAATAAGCGATGCCCCTGCACCTTCCCAGCAGGACTGGGCTCATGCCGGAGGCTGAGGGTGGAGGCTGGGGCGGGGGGGTGAGGTGTCTGCAGTGAGAAGACAAACACAGGATTCTTTGAGAGATTAATAGCCTCCCGGGCTCACATTCCACCATTTGGTTCAGATGTCAAAAGCGCAAAGATGGAATCCATGTTCAAAACCTGGGCAGTTCTTTCTTCCCCCGGGGGGGGGGGGGGGGTGTTGCACAAGACTACGTCCAGGCTTGGAGTTGGACAGACTATTTCAAGCTTCTAACTCTTGAACCAGGACGTACCGGTTTTCTGCTTAAACACAGAATTAGCTGACATCACATCTCACGTTCTGCTCCAGGTATCTGTTCTCTGACTGTTCCCCCTTACCTGTGTAGTATTAGGACTCAATGTTTTGTTATTAAAGATCTGCTCTCTTAATGACCTTGCATGTGAACTGGCTGCTTAGAAGCTCCCCCACACAGCCCAGCCCTTGCCCTACGCAAACAGGATTCAGCCTGGTGCTGAAGGGACAGTGTTGGCAGAGTGGCAAAGGAGAGTAGGAGGGGGGGGGACAGCTCCCATGATCTCTCTCTCTCTCTCTCTCTCTCTCTCTCTCTCTC